AGCAGTTACCATCCCTCGGATGCCAGGGGCCCAGTTCTGCCCAGAAGGTAAAAGGGATGTGCTGGCTGAACACCTCCAGGCAGAGGAAGGGTGGGCAAGGGGGGGACAGAACCCCCCCCAGCTGGGAGCTACACCTGGCTGAATTCCCCCACCCCACCGCCCTTCCTCTTCCTCCTTCCAAACCACCGCGGGGTTTTTTGGGGGGACGGGACGTGCGCTCTGCGGCACCGTCGGTGCTCCCAGAGAGCATAAACACGAGTGGGAAAGCTAGATTTCTGATCAATGCACTTCTCTTCACGCTGAAAAGGAAAGAGGAGGAGGCTGCGTACACCAGGCTAGCGCTGAGGCGGCAACTGTCCAGAGCTGGTACTGGCTAGCAGAAGGACCCTGAGAATAATTCGGCTAACACAGTCTCCCGGGGAACGCCGAGTTAGGTGCATCACAGTGATACTGGCTGAACGTGTTCTGTACAGTGCGAAATGGAGTTTGACAGAAGTGCAGTATCCCTTAACCTGCTAGTTCCTATCTCTTCCTAAAGGCAGAGGCTGCTACGGGGTGACGAGAAGCCTCATTGCAGCAAAGAGGCCGGCAGCCGCAAAAATCAGACTTACTTGGACATCCAAGTGGAAGTTATTAGGTGGCCAGCGGGAAAAATACTCATTTATAAAAAAAATAATAATAAAAAAATAGGAAAGCAAGTGCAGGGCTACTGCAAGGTGCATCGTCAGAGGTACCAGGTCTTGCAAACAGCCAGCCTCCCCTCCCCAAGACCCCAGGCACCCCACATCCCCAGCACTAAAGCATCTTCAAGCATCTCCAGAGATGACATCAGCATTATTTCTGATCAGAGAGACCTCAGCGATCGTTCGCTTTGAGTCCATTTAGACGAACCAGATTTGCACCCACTGCTCAAGATGGCTCAAGCGTCTTCGGAAAGCTGGGCTGAGGGCATGCGGATAGCAAACACGCCTTCTTTGCTGTCAGGCAGGGTGGCGAGCTGGAGCTCTGGGTCCAGTGTGGCAAGGCTGATTTCAGACATGAAAGATACCCTAGGAGGAGATTTTTTTTTTTTTTTGATTTTTT